CGTGGTGGTTCTGTGGTAAGGTTCGACGTTCGACGACTCGATTCGACGTATGCGATTCCTCGCTTATGCTTCACAGCTCACCACCAAGCCTCCACCCTACTGCACCATTACAAACTTTACCTGCTCATAAGTTGCTTGTGAATGCAGGTTGCAGTTTTGCTATCTATATTTGTTAATAGCCTTATAGACTCTATCGATCCACCCAGGTCTCCATTCAAAGTTCCATGGTAAGTTGGCGACCTTCCCTGGTTAGAGCGTTGTCGTCTATATGTGAACTTCTAATCCTCTATCTGTGATGGCGAATGATCGCGGACATTGCCTTTAACTGACAGCGTCTTCAAAATTATCGTAACTCTAGATGGACCGCTGTTTCAGCTTCACTTCAGGTGAGAAAAGTGTGTTATGGACAGATGGCCGTTCCCAAGAGACCCAACGTGGGATGAAATGATGCGAGACTTTGAGCGATTCAAAAGCGGTATGAAGCCTTACTGGAGGGAAGCTGATCACTCTGTCATGCATGTGGGAGAGGATGTTCATCCTGTAGGTCCATTTGATGTGCCTTCACACTTCATAGAACCGTTAATGACAGTTCATTTTATGTCATCAATGACGAGAATAAGTTCGCGATTTCTTTGGATGTATCACACTTCCGTCCAGAGGAGCTGAACGTGCATTTGGATGGACGAGAGCTCGTCGTCGAAGGAAAACAGGATCGCAAAGATGAGCACAACTCTATGCAGAGGCTGGACTTTTAGGTTTATTTTTCTGGATCCACCATTCGTCCAACAATTTTCATTTAGGTCTTTCGTCCGCAAATGGACGATTCCGGATGATGTCAATTTGGATGCAATCTATTCGAATCTTAATGTGAAGGGACATTTATCAGTCGAAGCCCCGAAAAAGGCAGCAGAGATTCCACAGAGAAGGAACGATCCCTATAATGCCCAGCAGCATTTCTAACTATTGAAAGCTTTTAATCTAATCTTGAGCTAATCAAATGCTTCCATCGTAACAGTGCCCGAGGGTCACTATAAAATGTCCCACTGTTGATAAAGTTCGAGCGCAACTATTCTCGATTGTTTGGCAGCAACGTAAAACATTTCTACGCTTGGGATCGACTGTAAGGTTTGCATTAATGTGAAATTTGGTGTGGAACTTGAATACATGAAGATTCATTGCTTTTGTTGAGAGTAATGCACAAGGAGCATCTTGTAGTAGTGAATGCAGTCATATATTAGGTTGTTTGAAAAGTCCTGCGACACTTTGATTGAATCGTTCTAGAAAAAGACCAAAAATCATTTTGGATGTTTTTATCCCTGATTAGTGGAGACTGTCCATCTGGGTTCTATGCACATGGGTGAGTACTCCCATGACTTTGCAGCGAAGTTTCTCCAACTTAAAAGCTCCCGCACGACGATCGACGTACCTTTTCGACCTGCTGTCCCATATTATGAGCTTCCTGTAGGGCCACTTCGCCGTAGTCAAGGAAGCTGACACCTACGTTGTCTTGAGGAAGGATATCGCTTGCCATGGCAGAGGGTAGCTTTTGCATCAGCGCTTCTAGGCTGGACTTATTTAACTCGTAGTTGGGCAATGTATAGGTCGCCCATCAGCACAGAATGACGGCCCTTTACTCAAGCTTCTTGAGGCGCAGCCGAACGTAACCACCAGTAAGTTGGCAACCTCTCTACAACAGTAAGTTGCAACTCCTCTCCACCTGACTGACAACTGCCATGCTTCTCCGCAATCTCGGTTATCGGAAAAAATTTTTGTGAAGGATGCCTCATGAGTTGGACCCGTCTGACAAGTCATACCGAATGACCGTGACTGAGTTTTCTTTTCCTTGTACACAGCGTAGGAACTTTTGTGAGATCTTGCGGTGAATGGCCTGAGCAGTCTTGGGGGGGGTCCTTGCGGCTTAGTACATCGATGCACCCCCCCCCATCGTCCCTTGCAGGCATCTCTCAAACAGGAAAAGTAGCATTGCTTAAGCCAGAAGGGAAAGACGCTGCCACGTGGGGGATGAGGATCTTGCAGTCGTGTTATGTCGGCTCGTACTTCCCAAAGCGTAATTCACTGCCGGGATAGCCATGGCTGACCGCTTGGTACCACGCTGTAAGTGGATCACCGAGTCCCTGCTTAATCGGCACTTGCAATAAATTCCATGGGCATGACGTCACGGCTTGGAATCGTGCATTTCAAAAAGTACCTCCGGAAGTTGACTTGCGTCTGAGCTTCTCCGGTAATGCGCAGAGGACCGCTGTCGGGCATTCAGCGCTACGCAAAGATCATGGATTTCGATCAGAGAATGCGACCGTACCCAGGTTATTTAACAAAGTTAGCAGCCTAATTACCACCTCCTTTGGTCACTATCGCATCCTTCAAAAAGCAAAAGTTCCGAAAATCAACCTCAACTCGAGAATGAGGTCCACCTCTTCTTTTTATCACAGTTGCCGTAGTTCTATGAGAATGGAAATGAGAAGCTGTGCAAAAGAAAGGCACTAGTCCTAGTCATCAACTGCGGTTACCTTGTAGATTGGAGATGTCCTTTACTGACCAGAAATTTAGTTCGAAAAATTTGGTCAAAGTGTCGCAGGACTTTTCGAACAACCTAATACTATTTATGACATGATCGAGCCGGTACTGAGAATTAGAGCCGAAGTGAACTCGACTTTACCTTGAAGTCCCTTGATGACTGTGACTTTTTTCCAGATTAGCTTGATTATGCATTCATGAATGGCCTGGTTTTCATGAGCCAGTTCTTCAACAACATTCCATATTGCTCCCCTCTGTTTCTCGCACAACTGAACACGTGTCATTGTCTTGGGACTCGCTTCATATACCTGACAGAGAGAACACGAAAACAACCAGATTTGCAGAGAGGACCATCCTATTGCTCGATCCAGCTACTTGTGTTAGTCAATGTACTGCACGTTTTTGTCAAACTGACCCTGCTTTCCTGGAAAGTATTCAATTCTTTTTGTTACTATGCCATACTGATCACATATCTGGCCTTTCTTCGAAGTGTGGACCATCATTTCCCCTGTTCTTTCTGCGATCGTTCTTTGAAATTTCGTATCAGCTTGAACACAGGCTCGATAACCAAAAGAATGCCTGATCCATCCACAGTGTAGGATCTTGTAAGCTCCTGCAAAATCACGAAATGGAAGCATCATCATTTGCGCGCCATGACTCCGGTTCACATTGAGCGACAGTTCTGTAGGACGAAAAATCCACTGCAAGCTAGGGGAAAAAGATGTCTGATCCCGCCGAGGGAGAAGGATGAGATCGATTTCATTGTTTTGGGTCTCACGCACATCGGGCCAACATTCCGTTATAGAGGCGCGTCAGACTGACGGTTCATGTTTTGCGTACATAGACCTATGCTTTCTCACCATCATCGCTCCTTCACTGCCTCAATTTGAGATATGTGGATTTCCCAACAAACGAAAACATGCAATTTCGCAGCGTTGAGGACGGCAACTCGTTGTTGGCGAAGCTCAAAAATGCAAATGCAGTGTATATAGTTCTTCTATTTCTTCTAGCCTTTCCAAGATTGAGCAACTTTATTGAAGGCCTACGTTTCGGCGTCTTCGCCTTCGTCAGAGCCTGAAATGGTCAAAAAACATTTCGAGACCTGCTCGCTCAAACATTTCAACAATACTCAAGACGATTTCCACATACCAGTAAATCACCCAACGGTATCGATCTAGGGCGGAACGCTGGCTTACCTTGATCTTGGACGCGTGACGCAGGGACGACCACCCTGTAGAGGCTCAAGCGTGGAGTAAGAATTACTGGTAACCTTATGTGATGCTTCTGTGCCGTAGAGGTTTGTTATGATGGAACAGTTTATTAGGGCCGACGTTTCGAACAAATCGTCGTTATCAAGGCCTGAAAGTGGTATCATTGTGCAAATCTACCACTCAGTCCGATCACACGTTGGCTTTGGCCCGTGCGACGATTTTCAGGCATGAGTCGCAGAATAACCATTTTCACTCACCCACTACTGTTCCACCAGCGCCGAGCTCCTATATATCAACCACGCGACAACCGACCACTGGAGCAAGTGAGACGTTCTGCATGATGCTTCGGATGCGTATATGCAGAAGAGTGAACTCACAGCTCACATAGT